CTCCTGTCCCCACACCTTCCCCCTCACCTGCCCCTCACCTGCCCCTCACCTTCCCCCTCACCTGCCCCTCACCTGCCCCCTCACCTGCCCCCTCACCTGCCACTCTCCTGTCCCCTCTCCTGCCCCTCAAGTGAAAACCAGGATCCCTCCGGGAGCAGATGACACAAACTTCAGCTGGAAAGGGCAGCGGGGGGAGCCGGGGGACAGACGGGATGGAGAAATAAACGGAGGGGGAGCATTTGGGAAGCGCGGAAACAATGTGGGCGCTTTCGAGTTACACCAGGGAAATGCAGAAGCAGCCCGTGTGGGCATTGCTAGCTGGCTTTTGTAAAAATTTGAATTTTTACAGCTTAAAATTCAAGCTGTAAAAGAGGCAAGAATAGGGAAAAATATTATTACAAATGGTTTTGTTTCAGATTGAATCAAATATTTTGAATAGAATTTTTTTTTCAATTAACCTTACTAGCCTTTTTAAAATTTTTTGTGGGTCAGTCATTTTCACCCTAAGTTTCCAAACCCAAATTAAATACCTCTTCTTTCTTCATCTCTACAGCTCCTCCTTGGCAAATGGCAGCACCCAAGCCAGGTTCTTGCTTTGAATCTTCTCTCAACTCCACACTGCTGCAGTTGTGATCAGCCAGGCTTTGCTCTGCAGCTCCAGGGGATGCACTTTGGAACTCCCAGCTTCCCAAATCCAGGATTCTCTGCTGGAAATGTCCCAGACACAGATGATTTTCCATGTGAAATCCTCTCTCCCCTCCAGCTCCGAGGCCTTTTCCCACTGCCACCTGTTAGGAGTGCTCATGGAAGACAATGGAAAGATGCCCATGGATAGATTTTAAATTAACTTGAGCTGACTTTGTACCCTGCATGTGAATTACACATTGGAGCTTCTGCTGTGGTTAAAGTTTTCAGGATTTTGCATTTCAGTGATGCCTGTCACAAGAGTAGGTGCTGGGGCCTCACCCTGTCAACTCTCTGTCACATCAACCTTTGCACCTAACAGGTGCAGGATGAGCCTCTCTCTTTGCTTCATGCCAGCATTTATAGTTCTAGTCAAACCTATCTTGGGAAAAGAAATCTGCCAGTGGGAAACTGAAAAAAAAAAAAAAAAAGCAAATTTATTGTATTTTATTTTTTTTTAAAGCATCCTCACCACATAGGAGTTAACCAGAGCTAGGTTTGATTTTGGATGGTGCGTTTGTGGTTTTTGTTTTTAATGCAGCTGGTATTCATTAACTGAGCATGGAGTAGATGAGTTTTTCCCAAGCTGACTTAGCACAAACTTAAATTCCACTTGGAGGTCTTTTTTGTTGATTTATTTTTACCTCCTTCTTCATCTTGTTTTCAGCAGGGATCAAAACAGACCCTGTTTTTCTGTCTCCCAGCCAGGCCTAGCAGGCTCAACAGGATGCACTTGAACATCAAAGCTGACAGTGAATTCTCATTTTATTCCTGAGAGTAATTCTAAAAATGGAGGGAAGCTGAGGGACAGTAAATGTTTGATGATTCAGTACAGAGGAGAGACCAGCCTTCATCAAGTGGATTGGTGACCCCAAATTGAAGGGGCTGCTGCAAGGGACAGTCTACAGGCAGATGTTGAAGGTGTTTATTTGCTGATTTGTTCAGTATTTGAAATGATTAATTCCTGGTGTTGAGTGTTTTACTCACTGCTGTATTCCTGCACCAATTCCCACTCAGTCTCCTACCAGCTGAAGTGTTTATGGAAGTAATTGCTGGCTGCTAATCCTTGTGAACACTTCACAGGGTCTGCAACAAAAAATGACAAATTTTAGAGCAGGTTGAGAACCCTTTCTTTTTAATTGGGATGGAGCATTTGCTGTTGCAATGAGGGACATTCCCTGGGTTACAGGCCAGGTCTCAGTTCATGTTCTCACTGTGTCTCTGGAGCTCCTCATCAGGAATTCCTGCCTGTTCCTCTCAGCCTGTTGGGAGACCCTGCACAAGTTTCCTGGCCATGCCTTTCCTGGCCATGCTCACATTAAAATGATGTGCCCTAAAAAGCAATTCTGTTCTGCTTTATTCAGATTTATCTCCACACTCCCAAGGAATCCTTTACAACTCTGTGCAGAAAGTACAGGGGTGGGGGTGGAAATCAGATGTTTCTGCTCACCAGAGCATGGTGCTGTGAAGTACCAAATGTTCCCAGGCTACACTTATTTAGATTTATAAACTAAAATTAATCAAGAGAAGTCATTCATACCTAGAGTAACTTGAGAAGACAACCTCCAAGGAAAATCCACATGTCCACCGGATCCTGCCAGGCTGCCAAAATTCATGTCAGCTAAAGTCATGTGATATAATTTTGGAAATTAAAAACTGGGGCTTGGCTCATTTCTTCCCCTTATTGTAACTCTGAATTTCTGTGCTGTTTCTCCAATACCAAATCCCATAATAATATAATTGGGGGATGGGGGAGAAGGAACAACAATCCTCTCCAGGTTTAAAACCTTCAGTTTAGATTTGCTGTAAGCAAAATCTGCACAAGCCTTCTATAAAGATTTCATAAAGCTGGACTTTGTGGGTAATAAAATTCTTTGTGAGTAAATAGCTACACAAAAGCAAAGAAATACAATCAGAACTTCAGCAGTGATAAAAATCTGACAATATTTTGGATCAAAAGCCTAAAACCACAAAACCATTTGTGAACAAGACCAACACATTTAGCTGCTCTATTAGAGGCTGACTTCAATCAAAAATAGTGTGATTTGTGCCTAATCAGTTTTCTGTAATGGGAAAAAAAATATTTCTTTGTTGCAGATAATTTTAAGTAAAGCAACACCTGATTGTTTGGCTTCTATTTAGAAAGGCTTAACCCCTATCATTATAAATATCACTCCATCCAATTTATTGCCTCCCAATGGGTGAGAGCCTGAGTTTTGAGTTGAGGAGAGCTGCAAAAATCACTTTTCCTCTATTGATGTTGCCCTTCCCTCATCCCCTGCTGTCAGTCTGAGACCTGTATTTTGTTACCTGCATTTTATCTTTCACCCCCTCTTCTAGACAGGAGTGGCTGATAATATTCCACAGTAGAGGATTTCTGCTGCACACTTATGCTGATCCCCTGGAAAAGGTGGCACAAATTGCAGTTTCCTTGAGTTAATTCATCCATTCCCGCTGTGCTTTAGGGACACACCCCTCTGCTAACAAGTAATAGTACTCAAGTTTCTTAAACATGGATTTTTAACACAGACAACAGTTGGAGAGAACCTCCAATCCTGGGTTAACCACAAGTTCCAAGAGTTAGCAGTCACCCATCCTAGTGGACTGAAATCTAGAAAATAGCAAATAAATAATAGCACTGAGTGAGAAGAGACTTTTGTAAGGTTTTAATGGGACTTAAAAGTGAGACTAAATAAAATAAATACCAAAGAGACCTGGGAAGAACTCTATGTAGAGCACCAAAACTGTCTACAGCCAATCATTTTTCATCATCTCCAAGACCAGAACCTGAATTTGTAGTCTTCATGCAGATACAGATGTCATCAACATGCCTAACTCAGAGTTAGTGGGACTTGTTCCAACCTGGGAAAGGAATGAACTCTGAGCAGAGTTTATGCTTAGCTTCTCTGGATATATTTTCAACTATATTAAAATATTTTGTGTTACTAAAGGTACTGAGTGAACAATATCAGAATTTAATTCAGATTACAGAAACTGTCTGCAGGCATGTAAAATCTTTTATCCCAGACACTCTTTCTCCCCTGGTGTAAAGTAGGGTAAGGGGTTGTTGCTTTGTGCACTGGATGCTCCAGGTCAGTGTGGGAAGATTGTTAGGAATTACACAAGGAGTTAAATTTCAAGGAATTGAGCAATTCTCATGCCTCTGATAGGAAGAAGCATCTCCCCCAACCCTTAGGTAGCGGTTCTGTGCCCTTGGTTTCTACAAGCAGCCCACTGAGCCAAGCTTTGGGTTAATCCTGGAATTTCACAAAACCAAGCTGCCTTTAGGTTGAGTCTATAGCAGAGTAGTTACAAAAATGGAATTCCAGCTCCTGGATGAAGATGATCACTCCATGCTATCACATGTCATGCTCAGCAGTAAAAAACAGGGCTGAGAGGGAGGGAGGATGATGTCTTGAGTGATGGCATTTGTCTTTCCAAATATCCCATGGGATGAAGCCCTGCCCTCCTGGAAATGGCTGAACATCCACCTGCTGATGGGAAACAGGGAATTCATTCTTCCTTTGGCTTTGTTTGCATGTGCAGCTTTGCTTTACATGTTAAACTGTCTCCATCTCATCCCCTGGGCTTTCTCCTCCCATGAGTTTTCCCAATTTTCCCTCTCAACCTTTTCTACCCTCCCAATATGGGAACCTGTGCAATATTCAGGTTCAGTGAGGGGTGGCAGCAGCACTGCAGACTCTGCCAAGGGTTGCTTTAAAATACATTCAAATCAGAAGCAAGTTACCATTAGAAACACAATGATGGGTGGGAATGAGGGAGTGGTTTGGTTCTGTGTCAGGCCTGAAATAGGAAAAAAGCTCTAAAAGACAGCTCAACCCAGAATGAAGATAATTCATTTTTCTCCCTAATGCAAAATAATAAGAAATATCAATAACCCCCTAGAATTTCAACTCAATCACATTTGACTTGAACTAGAGTGCAGCAGCAATATATTGCTTCAAAATTTAAAGAGGTCCCATATTTTCAGAATATTTCCTTTATTGAAGTCTTTTTGGCTGAAGCTGCATGTCAGTAAAGCAAAGTAATTGCCTGGAAAATATTGATTAGCTCTTGTCAAACACCCCCTTTGCTATTCTGTATTTCCATTTGAGCAGTGTCAGCGTTTGGGCACTGGCACAGGAGTTTCACTGGTGTGAGTTCAGTTCTCTAAAGCAGCCCCAGTACAGCCCCACAGCCACTGAGCCACTGCCACTGCTCTGCCACATAAATTACACACAACTGTATGTGACAACTCAGCCTAACTCAGCAAACAATCCTTTCCTGAGCTGGCTGCTGGCACATTGCTAATTAACAATTAATTGCCTTCAACAAGACTCCTGCAGAGAAGATGATGTGATACTGCAGATGTTTCAGCCAACTTGTGTCTCTGTGCAGCCTTGCAAAGTGCCCAAAGATTTCTTCTACTGTTTCGCTTTTTGTAATGGTATTTTTAATCAGATATATATTCCTTTTGTTGGTTTTTTTTTTTTAAATATGTTGAGGAACTTTAATACTGAACCTCCTCTTACTAAAATGCTTTATTTACAGCTGTGAATTATCAATTGTTGGTTGACACCTGTAGGTTTATAACCTGAAAATTGTGTTAAAATAGAACTTAGCTGGCAGACCAGGAAAATAAATTATCTTGAAACCCTACCCAATTATGCCCAGCAAAAGCAACATCTCTGCTTCAAGAGCCAGAAGAGAAAATACTCTCAAATTTTATTACATCCACTTACTAAAAATGCATGGACTTGTCTTTCTCAGCTAAAAGAGGGAATATTTTATTGTAGACTGTAATCACTGGGAAGGCAAATGGAGAGGACACAAAGGCACCAGATTATCCAGAATTTCACCTCTGCTGGCCAATTATTTTTCCCAAGGACTCATTAAAGGTGAATAAAGAAACTCAGTGAGGGAAGAACCCTTCAGCAACAAGGCAAACATCACATTTAGGTGCACAAAGCTGGGTCTGGAGGAGCAAACAGGGAGATCCTGACTTTGCTGGCACAGATTCCAGGAGCCTGACAAAGGGTGTGGTGGGAGGGCAGGAGGAGATGTGGGAATTGCTGCTCTGGAAATGGATGAACAATCCAGGCACAGAGAACAAAATAGGCAGATTCCTATAGGAGGAAAAAACCTTCCTGGAAATTTTCAGAAAGCCCTGAGTTGATTTTAGGTTCTTCCCCCAGAGGGTGCTGGGCATTGCCCAGGCTCCCCAGGGAATGGTGACATTCCCAAGGCTGCCAGAGCTCCAGGAGTGTTTGGACAGCACTCCCAGGCATACACAGGGTGGGATTGTTGGGGTGTCTGTGCAGGGACAGGAGTTGGACTGGATTATCCTCGTGAGTCCCTTCCAATTTGGTATATTCTGTGATTATTTTTATGTTTCAGGATATTTCTGACTGTTTCACTCCCTCTCATCTCAGTTCCTTTCCTATCCGCAGGAAAACTGAAACTGATCCTACAGGGTTTGACTATGTTGTAAAGAAAAGCTTAAAATACACTTGTCTCAAATTCTTCTCCAAGTGTCTGGCACTGAGGAGATTCATCAAACCACCAGAAACACAGAGCCTAATCCATGGAAAACTGAATTCAGGAGAGGAGAAGGAATTTTGCTGGAGGTCATTTTATTCAAAAGCCTTTTTTTGACTCCCTGTTGTTTGTAGAGTGAGTTCTAGGTAATAAATCAGGCAGGAGGAGACGTCCCATGTTACCTGGGCCATGGAGGTCTGGCTTTACAACAGCACAGAAAAGAAGTTGGGCTTGTAGTAGAAATAATCAGTTGAGATTCTGTGCTCCCACCATGTTTTAGTTTAAGTACAATATCTGGTGAATGGAATTCCCAAAGCAGCGCCTATTTCTTAAACTATTTCTCTAAAATTTACTTGCATTTTTTTTTTTTTAATAGGAAAAAATCCCTATGCTGAGGAAGGCTAGGCATCAATTTTTAAAAAATCACTATTTTTTAGAAGTTTAGCTTTCTCTGAATATTATTCTAGCCATCATTTCCTCATGACTAGAAGAGTGTAGTTAACTAAAACAGGAAGAACACATAAAGATCTCCTTATTTGATGTCACTTGCAGTTGTCCCACTGGGAAAAAGAAGACTTTGCAGATGGAGTCAAGGCAAATAAGGCTCTCCTAAAGTGTCAGAGTATGAGTGACAGTGACACATCCACAAACATCCCATCTTTATCAGCCCTGCTATCACAACCATACAATTTTTGGGAGCATCATTCTGTTTTTGCAGTCAACTTCTCCACCTGCTCCCAAGGCTAAATATCATTGTAAGAGTAGAAAAACTGCACCCAGAAGAGGGAAATTTCCTCAGCTGAGGTCTCCATAAAGAGACATACAGGCTTCTTACAGTATTCTTACAGGCTACAGAATATGCTGCAAATAAACACAATCACGTTTTCCACCAGTGCATCATTTACAAAACTTTCAGCCATATTCAGCCTGAAATTCATTTGTAAAGGTATTTTGCAGATTTGGAGCCTAAAGGTCAAGTTTTCAGGAGCCAAATTACTGAGGTGGCCTTTTCTGCTGAAGAGGGGCAGAATGTGGCATTTGATTCATTGTTTGCAGTTCAAAAGGGGTTTGTGCACCTTAAACATTGATTGTTCTGATGGTTAAAGCAGCTGAGACTAAGGAGATATGGCTTTATACCTGTGAGTTTCCTTAGTTCATTACTAACTTTACACCCAGAACAGAAAGCTGTAATCCACATAGAGATAAAGGTCTTAAATCAACCGAGGTTTTCTTCTGAGGTTTGTTTTTAAACCAAGCAGGGAGTGTGTGCAGCACCCAGCTCTTAGTGCAATTAATTTCAGGTCCTTGCTAGTAATGATAAGAAAGTATTAAATTTCAGATGATAAGAAAGCATTACATTGCAGCTGCTTGTGTTAGATGGATTTTTGATTCTAACTTGATTCCTACTTTAAGTTTCTTTAAGCTTCATAAGAGTTTTCTTGGGTTTTACAACAGCCTTGAGCAAGGAGCAGAGCAAAGTGTCCCCTTCCTCCAGCCCTTGGGCACACAGGGATGGTTCAGCTGCTTCCAACAAAGGCAGAACTTGCAGGTGAAAACCTGAGTTGGCACAGAAATAGCAGCTCCTCTGGAAACTTTCTCCTGTTCTGTTGTACACACAAAGAAATAACAATTTATGTTCATTTGCTGCGTGGCCAATAAATCTGCAACAGACTGCAGTTGTTAAACGTGGATTTTGTGAACTGCAACACAAATCATTATCCACCAACTATTTCTATACTCTGAAATTCTGCACTCTGAAGTTTTTCTGCACGCTGAAGTTTTTCTGCACTCTGAAATGTTTCTGCACTCTGAAATGTTTCTGCACACTAAAATACTGGGCTTTGTGCACTGAGCTCTTTGCAGGGCTGTGGCTGTGTCACAGCACACTGACCCATGGAAGGCAGCAGGACACAGGTTGGATTTCCTTCTGATTCATGAGGGGGAATCATTGATCTGTGGAATATCCTGAGCTGGAGGGGGCCCACAGGGGTCATAGACCCCCAACAGTCCCAGCCTGAGCATCCCTGGCAGCGCTGTCCAAACGCCCCTGGAGCTCTGGCAGCCTCAGGACCGTGCCCATCCCCTGGGCAGTGCCAGCACCTCTGGGGTAGAACCTTTCCCTGATCTCCGACCTGAACCTGCCCTGGCACAGCTCCAACCCCTAAAACTCTTTGTTCACACTTTATACTCTTGTGCATACAGAATATTTTTTAAGCCCAGGAGCCCTCCATGATTTCTTGAATTGTTTCAGTGCCCCTTTTGCTAACAGCATCCTGAAGTCCTGAGTCTCCTTTTCTATTTGCAAATCAGAATCCTGGCCAGACACAGAAAACAACCCATCTATGAGTCCATTTGATTAAAACAAAATTTGGCTGCTGCCTAATGGCTTGCTCAGGAAGCGTTTGGGTTGCATTAAAATGAAGAGGCCAAAGCAAGTTCCTGAGCTGCATTCAAAATCCAATGTTAAAGGTCAAAATACCAGAGTGAATGGCACCTAATCTGTGGAACAGCTTTCAGGAACTCTTTTTACCACCTTCAGCATTTACCACTCTATTCTTAGCTGAAACAGATGTACATTACAGTTTCCTATTAAAACAAATGAGATATTGAAGAAAACTTCTTTGAGGAAACTGAAGTAGTTAAATACAATAAACTTAAGACACACTTGAGTTCTGTAATTAATTTCATTTTCCCATAAGTAGTTTAATCTTAATGAAAATTGTTTTTTTTACAAGATATTATTCCAACATAGATGTTGTTATCTCCCTTTGGCAGGTGCAATAAAATATCTGAAAATCTGCCCAAATTACCATTTCAATCCACAAACATCATCCTATTCCAATTCTAGGCTGAAAAGAAATTCTTGCTCTGCCTCTACAAGTATGAAAAATCTAAAATAATTCATAGTGCTAAATATATATTCTCATATTTGGGAAAAAAAAAAAGTATTTAAACTTTCCATGTTCCAAGCTCTAATTTAGATTTTTTAGAAGAAGTAAATGCATCTTTCACCTATGTTTGTTTAAAAAAGAGCTACATTATAGTGAATTTTGCTTACAGTTGGTTTTTCTTCACCTCTTCCTCTTATGTTTGAAGGTTTTGAGATCATTTTAAAATGCCTTTTCCCAAATGATTCCTCATCAATTTTTCCTGACCCTGTGATACCACCCCTGCAAATCACAGGGCCTTACTGCAGGGCCTTACTCAAACGGAAGGATTTCCACACAATCAGAGCAAATAAATGATCTTATTTGATTTAAGGACATGGGGGATGGAGTGTTTAAAAAGCAGCTCCCGGTAAAATTGCAGCTCCCGGTAAAATTCCCTTTCAATAGCAATAATGGGCTTTCTTCTCTCATTGGTGTATCCCAAAACTATGGAAAAATGAGTCCCTGCAAACTCCAGCCCAGTCCTGAACATGACACTGATTTTCTACAGCAAGGCATCAAAACCTTTGCACACCTAAATGGATTGCTCTGTCAGCATTTTATCTTTATTTCTGTTAATGCTTGATAATGACTCCCTAAAACTATTTTTATAATTGGTTTGCAAGGCAGAATTACCTGAATGTAATCAGATACAGCTTTTCCATTAACTGAAATATGTCTCTGGGCCATAAAGAGGTCTCTGTGGTTTTACAGTGTTATTTTAATTTATTATTTAACATATTTAATGTTATTTAATGCATTATTTAATGCATTGTTTAATTTTTGATATATTCATTAATGTTATTTAACATATTACTTAACATGATAATAACTTTGCTTATAAATGTGATCCATAACTATTTTATAGGCCATTTTAACTCTAGCATTATAATTTTGACATTATTGTTCAAGTTGCATCTTGCGTTTAATTCCTTCACTCTAGATTATCTTAATATATATTCACAAATACAAAACAAAATATTAAAAAATCCCTTTGTTTAGATATGACTAATGACTTAAAGTTTCCTACCCATGGCAGGGGGTGAGAAAAAGGTAATTTTTAAGGTAATCTCCAACCCAAACCATTCTGGAATTCTCAGAAAATGGGCCTCCCATTCCCACTGTCCTTTTTATTAATATTGCCTGATTTTCTAAGTCATGTTCCCAATCAGGCTGTGCTTGCTCCACTTCTGGACGAAACAGGTAACTATTCATACAGAGTATTTCTAATTTTCTGTATTGTCCCACGCCATTTCTACAGGTGCTTCCTAAAGACTCTAAAAATGCCATAAACAGCAAAAATTCCTTGCTAAGGAATGGATTTCCTCCATCAATTCCTGTCCTTAACTCGGGAGCACTGTGCCCGATTGCTGCAAGGAGGGATTCACGGAGCCAAACAACACCTTGGCGCTTAAAAAGAAGCCGAGCCAGGCTTGCCTGTTTTCCTGAGCAGCTCTGACCTCTGCCCAGATGTGCTGTGATCCAATAAACTCCCAAGGGAATCACGGCAAGCAGAACATTCCGGGTCACCAGCGGCTCACCGCAGCGGCTGGAGATGTTTTCACAGCACTCTTTGGCTGCTGGCGGATAAACTGATTTAAAAACCTCACCTAGATAGAAATAAATGTAGATAGAGAATTTTTAATTCGTCAGGGAAGATGTGCAGCAGTAGATTAGTGAGAGAGGCAGCAGCAAGGAGGAGAGAGAAATCCCACAGGAATTTTTTATCTGGGTGAACCACGAGTGCCTCAATGTTACACCCCTGTTTTATTAAACTCGGTTCAATATCCCACTGTCTCTAGGAACAGTTTAGAAATTTTTTTGGATGGCAAAAAAATGGATGGCTACTCCCCCAAAGGGTTGAGATCTATGATTTATAGCTGAATATTCATGGCATGACTTATTTTTAAAAGAAAAGCCTGCTGTTGTCATCTTGTCCTGTGTTGGCAGAACAGAAAGGTATGGGGTTTTTTGGAGTGTGGAATTGGAGTTCACAGCTATAAAACCTGCTCCTGTCTCCCTGAAACCTGCTTGCTGCAGCTCTGCCAGGTATCCCAGACTGCTGGAGATGCACAAATTCCCCTGAACTTGCAGCTATTGAAGGAGAGACCTTTCCAAGGAGCAGCTTTCCTCCACTGCCTCCCACCCTGGAGTGGGCTCTCTATTATCTACAAAATGGGTTTCTCAGCAGGAGCTGCTGGACAACAAAATGGGCCCTTGGCTCAGGCACCCGATGTTGTCAGAGCTGAATATCTGCCTGGAACAGGACTTGATATTCCTTAAAATAAGTTCATTAACTGTTTGACCTTTTCTACTTCCTAGGAAGATAAAAGTATCAATGCCAAGCCAAAGCACAGCCCTGGACCACCTAGGATGCTGTGACATGGTTTATAAGCAGGGAGGTGGGTGAGAGCAGAGCCCAGGCTGCCCAGAGAGCGCAGGGCTCCAGTGAAACCAGCTAAAAGTCATTAACATTCTCCAAGTCTTTGCCGGGAGCTTCAGTGCCTCGGAAATGCGACGTCTCTGAGCCAGGGCACAGACAGTCCCTGCGCCCAAACATCCCCCCTCGTGCTGGGTTCCCCAGCTGCCAAGCTGCCTCTGTGTTGATCACTTTTACAAGTGAACAAAATGACAATAACAAAACCAGCAATAATTCTGCTCGTGCTCCAATAATGCGCATTTTGCTGCTGCCGTTTGTCTTGCTAACAGGGTTAACTGAGCAACTGCAAATCTGGGGTTCCGTTATCTGCAGTGTAATAATGCCAATAATTATGTTCATAACATCATTCAGAGCATTTTCACATCCAGCTACATCACTGATACATGAACAAAAAAGGGTAAAACATTATTTTTATCCTGACTGCTTTCTTGGATTATTTTCCAAGGGCTTTTCATGAAGATTATCATGAATTTGTCAATGACTTGAGCAACCAAATGACTGTGGTCTTGTCCTGTATAAATCCCATCTTTCCTCTGCCTATTCATTATCAGTGCTCCCCAAAATATCAGCAGCTGCAGCTTCAGGCCTCCAAGGCCTAACCCATGCTTAGCTTCAAGCACTTAAAAATTCCAAACAGCAACATCTTTTAACAACCACAATCCAAAATTCTGTTTTTACACAACAATTACGCACAGACGTGACCAGCTCTAGCTACCCACAGGCATCACATCCTCCTTTAGCTTCTGAAACCACTCTGTTAAAGCAAACAGAAAATGAGTTTTTACTGGTGGCAAATCTGTGTCATTTTGATCTCATTTCAAGTTGAGGAAGAGATTATTTTCATCCTGTACCAAGCCTGAATGATTAAACATTTACACAGTTGGAGAAAGACTTCAGAATAACTTTTTCCAGCATAATCAAAACAAATGAAGGTTTTTAATGAGTGTCAGTTCAAATGACAGTTGAGAGCATCCTGGAGTTAAAAATGACAATTGAGAGGATCCTGAAGTTAAAAATAGTTTGGATACAAGGATTAGAGTTGTAAGAGACACTGATTTATCACACTACAGTAGCCTAAAGTCATTGATCTACCTATGGCAAATTTGTGTTGTGCAAATACCATTGAGAAAAAAAGGAGACTTTCTTTATTTTTTAAAATCCATAACGCTATTGATTTCAAATTCAATTATACAGAGAGGAACTAGGAACTGGGGTCTGGCCTTCACCTTGTAAAATGAATTTGAGAGAGGTCATCTGGGTAAAGCTGGAGTCTCCTAAAGCACTCTCATCTCTAATCCAAAGGGAGTTCTGCAGCACTAAACACCAATTGTGGGGTGCTACAATACCAATACAATAAAATATCAATACAATAAAATGTCAATACAATAGCAGCAAACAAAATCATGAGAACCTGCATGTGTTTAAAAATAATTAGAGCGATCTTAACTCTCTTCCCAGATTTTGGGTATGAAAGTTCTAAAACCAACATTAAACTTAAGTGGAAGGAAGGACAGGAGTTTGGCAGCACTCTCAATGTCTGAGTCTTGGTGGCATCCCTGGGTTTCATTGCAAAGGGAGGGGTGAGAGCAGGCCATCAAACCTGTCCCCCTGCATTAATTCAGTGATTTAAATCGGGTGTGGTGCCCTGACCCCAGCTGGCAGATGCATATTGCTGTATTACCTTGATAAACTCCATTTGCATGCCAAAGAAATCATCTGTTTCTTCACAAATGTTTCCTCTACTCACAGAAAATATATTTTTATGAACAGCTTGAAACTGACTTTATGATACTGTGGTTTATGGATATAAAAAAAAATTAAAATACAGCTATTCTACCTCTAGAAGGCTGAAATGTATTCTTTCCATCAGAAGAGGAAACAGGCAGAACAAAGTTACTCCTCAAGCAGAAAATTGCTAGATCAAAAATGCCAAGCAAAGCCAACACTCCAAACATGATATGTATGTCAAGTATTGCTCATAAATATCACCTGATGGAAGGATAGGGATTCATACCCTCTACTAATTTTGTCTATTTATCTTTCAACAGAAGCATCTTGTTTTCATTTGCTCTGGAAAACAAAAAACATCAAAGTTGTTATACATAAAAATACGTTAATTTTTATAATACCAGCCAGAGCAAGTGGCTGCTTTTATTGCTCCACACACCAGACTGAGCAGTCAGTGCTCTGGAGCCCCTTTTTCCACTTTGCAAAGGGCTCTGTCATAGAGGGTTTGCCCAGTAAAGGGGCAAAACCAGCAGTAATTCTCAGTACAAATAAAAAAATACTGACAATTATGATGTGACAGAATCACTTCACTTTATCCTTCAGAAATTGTCAGCTTGTCCCTGCCAAAATAAGAAGGAGAAAAGAATTTTGTTTCCTGTAATCATCTGGAACATGTTGAGTGCTAATCCTGCTAATACTGAGCAAGACTTGGGGGATATTTTCTCTCTAAATCCACACATTTAATGTAGATGTGAGTAGCCTGCTGGGGTTTACAAATAATTATTCCCTGGCCCAAACTCTATCAAGTTCAATTCTCCATAGGACAATAAGGGACTATTTCTGGTCAATAAAAATAATTTGATCTGTTTATAATTTCATTGCATGGCCCCATTTCTCTCCTTACATCACAGTTGAGATGATTTGTGACTGTTGCAATTGGTTTAATTATTTTGGTAATAGTCTTCTGAGTTATCAAAAGTTATTTTTCTGCAGCACAATCATTTGAAATCCACAAGAATCTAAGAATACATTCAGGTTTTTTTTCAGATGCAATATATTTTTGTATATATACTAAAAATAAATAGCAATATGTGAATAAAAATCTTAAAGAAGAAATGGAATTTGCTTTTTTTTTTGCCTTTTTTAGACATGATTGAATGCAACAAATTGTTCAGTGAGCATTCACTGGGTTTTGTGGCTACAGATTTTTCTACACACTTGGTGGAGAAATGACAGAAAAATAAACTGCTTAGAAAAGTTTAGCTGAGGTACATTAGAGTTAGGTTTTATGGTTTGGCTGATGAATGCCTTGTGAAAGAAAAGGACTCTTGGCCTTCTATAACAGGTTACAGCCTAGATCTGCACACAAACTGCAGGAGAGGCTTTTAATAATCCATCTGTAATTTCACATCACTGCAAAAATATTTCTAAATGCTGTCCACAAAGAAAAATGTTATAATCACCCTCACCATGTTCTTTGCAGGTTGTAATTTTCCCTGCAGCCAATAAATAATGGCTGCAGTAAGCAGTGGGTAATGGGAAGACAGAGAGAGTTTTATTTGCATTTATTGATATCATTATTCAGGCAGTGGTTAAAATTAGGAAAGGATAACTTGGTAAGGCAGCACCGTGTCACAGATAAATATTCTGGGGAGAAAGGATGTAGGAAATGATGTCCAGCTTCAAAAAACCCCCATTGAATATGGTGGCACTGCTGAGCTTCAAGGAGTTAAAACACTCCACTATTGATTGCTTTGGAAATCCATCATACTCCACTGCAGTAACAGCAGGAAATCTGTGGGTGGAGGTGCAATATCAACTGTGATAAAAGAGAATAGCCACCACAAAATTCACAGGAGATTAGAAACCAAAGCCTGGCCAAATGTTTGCACAATGGAGGAGCTTCACTTCACCTCTTTTTTTGAGCATCTATATGATGCTCTAAAATATTCAGCACATTCTGATTTCACCTGCAGCTTCTGTGAATCTCAAATAATCCTGACCTCAATCTGGGCTTGTGTGAGCAGCTTTCATGTTCTGTATTTTAATTGCCTCTAAAGAAAAAAAGAAAATACTTTTTGCTTTTCCTGACTAAAAAGAGCTTCTTCCCTCTCTGCTTTTTCCATGAACCTGCTGGTGGTCATTTAAGAGTCCACTGTTACAATAACAACATACAGTGTTTTTCAGATTTCATTAACAGGATTTTAGCCTGTGAGCATTTTGCTTAATTATTTTTTAAGTTGTTTTCCTTGTGCTCAGGGAAGAGCAGGGTTGGCTTGTAGGAATTACTTTGTGGCAATAGTCAGTGTGCAGACCAAGGCTCTCAGAATTTATCTAACATCTTTTTCCTGCAGAAAAATTTGGAAATTAGCTATGCTACTACACAGATATATTAATATTTTCCTTGTGGTTCAGCTGTGTCCTTGAGCACCAGTACCCCAAACCAAAGGAATTCTACAAAAGTGAAAATAAAGGGTAAAAATTATCATGGAACTAGAAATCAACACTTTTTGAATATAGACTGTGAAAAGAAGCATTACATTTCATATTAATCTTCTCTGGAATAGCAAAGCAGTATGAAGACATTTGAAAAACAATTTAAGTGCACCCATGGACAGGAGAAAATTCACAACTGAAGTTACCCACTTTATGAAGGAAACACAAAACCTGGTGTCTTTAGGGGACAAATACATGTACAAAAGACATATCTTCCAATATTCCTTGTGGAATAATCTTTGAATGTGGAAAACATGGAAATCTAAAGCTGCAGCCTTAAAAAAAAAAATTAAAATTAGAAATCATCAGGGAAACACGAAAGTTTGTGAGAGGGTACATTCACTATGAGAAGTGAATTATTGCTTAACCTTGCTACACATGACCAGACTGTAGAAACATTCAATCCCAGTGAATCAATTAAGCTTTGTTACTTCTCCATAATTAAGAAAAAATGTGTATGGAAACCTGTATTAACCACACTGAATCCAAAGACAGTGTCTGGAAAACACACACAAAATTATTCAGTGTTAAAAAAAAAGAAAAGGATTAGCATTGTTCATAACTTCCAGAATTTTTTGTTCCCAGTCTGGTCAAGTCTGTTTTCCTGAAACACAGGAAGTAATCTATATTACATGCACTCATTTAATTAAAAACTAATTGAGTCACAGAGTTCAAAAATACCTGTTACAAACAGAAATACCTTGAAGGAAATGGTCTAAAGTTAAAAAAAAATATTCATTGTCAAGAAGTTAGAGCCATATTAATCTTTAAATTTTTTTTCTTCCCCACTCATTCTCCTTTCTTAAAAGGAGAAATGGCGCAGACTTAGAGCGATCTAGTGCATCCTGCGGCCGTGTTCTTGAGTTAGGTCTTGGAAAAGGACTGCTAGCTACCTGATGGAGTTATTTTTAGAAGCTGAATACATCACCAAAATCTGTTCTGCATTCCCAGAGCCGGCCCAGGTGTCACACAGAGACTGGATGCGTTCCTGAAGCCTGCGGGCAGGGATCCAACGGTGACGGTGCAGATCACACTGACACGGAGCACACACTGAAAAATTGCTCCAGGCTGCCAGAAAACATGCTGGAGAAAGGAAAATGATGGAATGGCTTCCTTTGTGTCCATCCCTGTGATTCTTACCGAGAAAGGAAGAATGGGAACGCACCACCAGGAGTTGAATCTCTGGGAAAAAAGCAGAGAAGCTTAATGGGGCTGATTAGAGGAACAAAAGCTCACACACACTTTGTCCTCTGAGCAGGAAGAGCAGTGCTCATCCCGAGGTCAGCCGGCATCATTGAAAGGTTTTGCAATAAAAAAAATTCACTTGTGAGACCTTGCACTCATGTTACAGGTCAGGCACTCACATTGGTACCCACAGTGCAAGTCCTGGTTCCCAAGGAGCAGAACTAAAGTACAACACAAACACCTCAGAGTGCTGCCTCGGGGACCCCAGCTGTGCCACAGGGTGTCCTGAGTGGGAAGGGACACACAAGAATCCTCCAGTCCAGCCCCTGGCCCTGCACAGACACCCCAACAATCCCACCCAAGCGCTGTCCAAACACTCCTGGGGCTCTGGCTGTGCCCATTCCCCGGGGAGCCTGGGCATTGCCCTCTGCCCAGCACCCTCTGGGGTAGAACCTTTCCTGAGATCCATCCTGAACCTCTCCTGAGCTGATTTCAGGTCATTCCAAATCCCTGCTCACCACAGTGATCAGTGTCTGCTCCTCTTCCCCTCAGGAGGAGGCAGCAGGTCCCTGAGGCCTCCCCTCACCTCCTCCACACAGGCTGCCCACCTGCCCTTGGCCGCTCCTCACAGCCCTCCACCCTCTTAGTGTCCCTCCTTTGGACACTCCCTGATAGTTTAATATTCTTTTTCTATTTTGGCACCCAAAACTGCACACAGTACTCAAGGTGAGGCTGGCCCAGCCCAGAGCAGAGCGGAACAATCCCTGGCCTGGCCTGGCCGGCCATGCTGGGCCCGGTGCCCTCAGGACACCGATGTCCCCCTGCCTGCCAGGACACACTGCTAGAGCCTCAAGAGAAACATTTACACCTCAAACCCCATCCAAAGCACTCCTCTCTACTCCTAATTCTCCTCTGGGACCTTTGCTAAATTACCTTTCTCCCTCATCCTTGGGATTTTTAGTTCAGGTGTCAGTTGTGTTTCGAGCAAAGCCTTTTCCTTCCACTGGAAGCTCTGGGATGAAGGCTTTGCTCAAAACACAAATCGGGTTTTGGGGAAGAATCTTCTCTCTCCCAGCACAAGGTCAGCCTGTCCTAGAGGGTGGAAGATCCTATGAACATCCATCCAGTGCCACTCTTTCCAAAAGACAAACTGGAAGTGTTGTCAGAGTCGTATCATTTGTGGCAAGACAAAAGGAAGTCTAATTTAGTGTAACATGGTGATATTTCACAAAAATTAATCTCAGCACTAATGAATGTGAAGGTAAATTTTTCAACTGCCTGTTCTGCCTGCAATACTGGTAGTCTTGGACAAGATGCTCTGGAATTGCCTCTTTATGGAAATAATCCTTCTAGAAGTGGTGGGGTGAATTTGTGGAGAAATGTTTCACACCAAACATTACATTAACTGCTATAGCCACATAAACAGGATTAGCACAGGGGAAGAGGCACAGTGCCATTCCAGATCACAGCCAGCTATTCTTAAGCCTTGAAATTTAAGTATCCTCAGTATAAATATGTCAGTGAAGCACAAGATTACAGATTACTTCTGTATCCTCTGCTCCACAAAACCACACCAACAATTTTTGGCCACATTCTCACAATTAATAAGAATTAAAGCTTTGTTAATATAGTGAATTTCATTCTGGTTGATATATGTTAAATTCTTCAGTCAACTGGTACTAAAAAGTGCATTTGCTGTTAATGAACTGCACAATAGAGCTTTCCAAACTCAAAAAGGCTTTTCTATTTGAACATTTGTTCTATTACATTCTAGCATTTGCCCTTCCATTTGTTTTCAAGGAATTTATAAAAACATTCTGTTTTAACTTTTAAACCTCAGAGTTTGTTTGAATGCAGTAAATTGGTTTAAAACCACTGGGGCAGTGATTGACTCCTGTCAATCACACGAGCACAGGCACTGCTGTGGGATGAGAGAGGAGCAAGTCTCCAGAGGGCATGAGCTGAGATTGTGAGGATTATCAGACTAAAGGGTTTTCTGCTGTTTCCCCTACTTTAGCATTGCAGCCCCCCTGAAACAGATGAAATATTTGCCCTTGGACGCAAAGCAGAGGTGACTAATGAGGTGTTAACAAAGCAGCAAAAGCAGGAAGGTAAATTGCAGACCCATTTAAGAAGCTGAGCCACAGACAAGGGCAGTGCTATCCCATTCCTAGAGCTACCAAAGGCAAAATATTCAACAAAAATACCTTTTCTGACTGCCCTCCAAATTAGGATGGTCTACTCTGTGTAGAAATACTTCCTCTGCTCACCTCTGGCTCCAGGTCTCTTGCTCACCCAGCACAGGGGCTGGAGTGTTAAAAGTAAACCAAACTTAAAAGTGAACAATCTAACCACTACATTTCAAAATCCCTGGTTTTTTTAAGTGGCTATGATACTTAAATCTTAATTATTGACTTACTGATTATGAAGCTTTGCTGGACAGAATTATGTCCCAATTTATAACTGAGAAACCAAGGCCAAACCATTTGTCAGAGGTCCTATGCATAATTGAGTGGTCAGAGTCTCTCAAATTCTAAAAATGTTATGGAGAACAAAAGATCTCTCACTCACAGAAAGATAGGCAGCCCTTGGCAGTCCTCACCATCATTTATGGCAGCAGTAGAATCCCAGCAGCCATGCTTAGAAAACCACGTGCTGAATTTAGTGAGAAGTTCCAGCATTATTTAAAACTGCTGTGAAAACAGAAGGGTTCAGCCTTATTTGTGCATGCAGCGAAACCTCAGTGGTCTTCCTAGAAAAGGCTGATTTTACCTGAAATTTAGAAACATAAACCACCCAGAATAACCTCCATCCATACTTTGATATTTGTCATGGGGAACCAGCCTAGGAGATTCAGCATTTTCAGTTCTGGGGCTGCAGAGTGGAGTCCCATTGTTTATCTAGTCAGACCAGGATCCCTGTTTGGTTTGGATGAATTACATAATGACTATAATCAGAATTTGGGGATGGTTCATAGATAAGAAAACACAGGCAAAAGCTTTTGTGCAGCAGTAAGTGCTGGTAATTAAGTATCACCCATTCTTCTCTTTATTTGGTGCAGATACACACAGAATATCAATTAAAATTCCCAAAGTTACCACCGTGGAATTCAGTTCTCTCCCTTCAAACAAAGTGACCTAATTTGACTCATCTCAGTTTTACTTTAATCTCCACAGTGCAACCAAACTTAGCCAGCAAATGGGGCAGGACATCTGTTCACACAGGAACACGTATGAAACCCAGACTCATGCCAGACACTCACATTTGTCTTTTGTAGCTGGATTAGGAAGGAGTTTCCTTACATAACTCATAAAAGCTGTTTTCTGCTGTAGATACAGGTGCCTAAGGAGCTGCTTGACAAATGTGCACTGACACAGGGCTTTTGGAAAACATTGTTCAGGTATTTGGTGTAAATGACAGAAAGGAAAAGTTGGATTATGCTGAGAGCGTGCCAGGAAAATCTCACCTCGTATCTCTGGGAATGAGAGGAGATTCTTCCTATGGATGCAATTCTTCCCCAGCCCCAAATCCCTACTCATTTCCTGGGAGAGGGCTTGGGAAGCAAAAGATTTCTTTGTGCCCACTATACAGGTACAGGTGTTTATTTGTGGTAGTTTTCTGTTGGCTCCTTCAGTCCTTCTCACCTCGGAGGGGCCTTGGCAGCACTTCCATGGGCATGGCTGGGTGGGAGCTGCTCCCTGTGGCTTGTGTGAGCCTGAAAAGAGAGGGACACCACCCCAACCCCAGCTTTTATCTGCTCCTTACACTGGTTTTTAAGCACAAGTGCTGTAGGCTAAGTGGACTAAGGATAACAAGGAGCTGTTGCTGTGATCCCATGCCATGGTCCCCTCTGGTGCTCCATTTTTGGGTGTGTGACTGCAATTACACCAGTTAACCCCAAGAAAAGATGGGGATGATTTTTCTGAAGCCATACTGTACAGGCATGCCTTTGGTAGTCTCTTCCATTTGATGTTTCCCTCTATGTCCTTAGGATTTATCAGCTTTGCAGCAAAGGACACTTGAGCTGTAGGACAGATGGACCGTGGATGGAACAAGACCTTTAAAAAGGTTTCTCTATGCAACCTTTTTTTGATGTAGTCTTTATGAAATATAACCTGTGTATTAAATATATAGCTGCAACTTTCCTGGGAATTCCTGCAATACTTTCCTTTTATCCAAAAGATACCTTGAAAAACACATGGAGGGGAGGTTTCCCAAAGCCCTCCTGGCATTGGCTGCTGTTCCTGGCTAGTTTTCCATACCACATCCAAGCTGTTGGTTAAGGAATAGCCCTGTTCCAGGAAAGCTCCAGAGCATCCAGGAAACACGGGATAGAGATCTGGGGAGGAACAGGGAGTGGGGCTCATTCCTGAGGGTGACACTTGTTTTGCCAGCTGAGAGAGGCAGAACTCTAAATTGGAAATAGAAAAGGGACAGTTATCCAACTTTTTACCACCAAAACCTAAAACTGGCACCATCGAGCTGAGAGCAAAGCTGGTTTGGCTTGGTTTTTTTTTTGTTGTTGTTGTTTGATTTGGGGTTTTTTTTGTTTGTTTGTTTGGGTTTGAAGTTCCTAGAGGAGCACATCTGTAGCAGCACAAGTACAGGCTCCCTCTGGTGGCTCATTTCCATAAATGACAGCTTTTTTCCCCAAAAAAATCCCCATTCGGTGCAGTCCAACCAATTGGAGTTGGCTGCCCCATTCGGTGCAGTCCAACCAATTGGAGTTGGCTGGATGAGGTGGAACCTGTTTGAGAGCACGTAAGTTCAGGAAGCTCTAAAGTTTTTTTGTAAAGCACTGAACAATTAATTCTTTTTTTATGAGTAAAGACTTGGGGGCTGTACAGGCTCTTGGTTGTTGCTATGCAGGCCGTGAAAGCATAGAGAAATCTTCATTTTTAAAAAAAATAATAACATTTTAAAACAAGTATATTAACTGTGAAACAGTATAATTTTATTTAATAATGCTTAAAGTTGCTGATTATTAATTCCACCCCTGCTTTATTTGAAAAATTATTGTCCTTGTGGTTACTTTAGAGTTGATATTTGCTACTTTTTGGAGGTAGTGGAATAGAATGAAGCTTAGAATAGAAGACTGAAAGACTTTAAAAGAAACTAGCCAAAAGCATAGACACTTGGAAGAGCTGATATTGGACATGTACACGTCTTTTAGCTCAACAAGATGCCAAAATTAAAAAAAAAAAAACACCAAAACCACATCTCACCTTAAGATTAAAAACCCAAAGGCCGTGTGATTGTATAATCAACGTCACTGCACAGCTTCCAGCACTTGCACTCGGCTATTCAGCCTTGATCCCATGTGGTCCTACCCAAGACCTACCAGATTTTGACTGAAGTAGTTAAAATTTCATGTGTGGCTAAATATAGCCTGCCAGTCAGGAAATGCTGCTTGGCTGGAACCTTCCAGCAGGTCAGGAGCAGGAGTGGAGCTGGAATAACCCAAGCACATCCAGAACAGTTTACACCAGACTGGATTTAACTCTGGTGATGCCTGACAGCTCAGTGAGGAGGAAATGGTTTCTGTTCACGCCATCTCAATGTTGTGTTGTTGATATAAATCTCATCAGAGCTTCTGCAAAATCCAGGAGAACTTTGATAGTTCCTAATCCTGGCTGTAAATGTTTTGGCTGCAGCAGAACAA